CGGGGCGGGGCTGCTGGCGGGGCGGGGCCGCTGGAGGGGCGGGGCCGCCAGCTGGGTTTTCAGACCGCAAGGAAGGCGGCGCCTGAAAGGCACGGGTGGGGCGGGGCCGTCGGTAGGGGCGTGACCGAGAGCCGGGTTTCCTGACTGCGATATGGGCGGGGCCTGAGGGAAGGCGGCTGAGGAGCGGGGCCTCGAGCCGGATTTTCGGAACGCGAAGGGGAGGGCGGGGAGTGAGCGGCCTGAGGGCGAAGCTTCGAGAGGGTGGGCGGCAGGGCTGAGCTGCTCCGAGGGGTTGACGCTCGGCGGTCTGCCAGGTCGGCTGCAGCTGGGGATGGAGCCCGGATCCCACGCCCAGTAGCGTCCCGCTGTTCACCCCAGCGTTCACCGTGGGGCTTAGGCCTCTCCAAACTGTGCTTCTTCCACCAACCAGCTGCCTTCGGGCAGCCCCTTCACTTCTGGGGTACTCGAAGAGTGGGGTGCGGGCCTAGGACAGCAGCACCGGAGGCCAAGAGAGCGCACCAGGGTAGCCCTGCGTGGTGGTGAGAACCGGGAGCGGAGACCGGTCGTCTAGGAAACCGGCTTCGACGCTCCGCGAGGGCCAATTCGGATTCTCTGAGGCTTCCAGAGATCGGATACGGCTGCCCGCGAGGCGGCTGGCGAAGGGGAGCCGGCGAAAAGACAGTGGCCGCGCTGCCTTTCTGCTACCCCCGAGCACTGTGATATATGTCGGTTTAGGGAACCTCAGGGCCCAGCCCAGCCAGGTTCTGGGTGCAAAGAGTATGTTCAGTGCATGACACATCCGAAAACACATTCTTTGAGAGTAGCAGAAATCTGCAGTAACTCCCACGCCGATGTGGAGGAGAGCAACCGGTTTTACATCCTACCCTGGACCGGAGCACAGTTCCATGGAGTAAGAATTGTCCCCCTTTTGCAATCATTTCAGGAATCCGGGGGTAGTCAGTTTCGGCACGCTGATGGCAAAGGCAGAGAGGATTCAGGATTCAGTCTGGGGTCAGCCTGGGCTACACAGCAAAAAAGAGTTCAAGGCCTGGGAGGTTAAGAAACTTGCCAAGATCGCACAGATGATGAGAGATGGAATTGTACCCCCCAAACCCTCACCACACACTCGTGTTTTACCTTGATTCGAAGCTAAACTTGAAGGTAAAAGCTAGAGAACCCTATGGGTGCGAGACAGGCACTTGAAAACTTGACCCAGAGGCCTCTGACTTCACCCACTTCTTGAATGACCTCAACGCAAAGAAGGACTCCTGGTGGTGCTGTAATTTTTGTGTCCAGGAAGGTGAGGGCTTTCCTGAAGGAGGACTCGGAGACAGGCTGTTAATTACCTCTAGCTACTACTGTATTTGGAAAGTTTACTCGTTACCAGTATGTGCCATGAAATGTGTGTTGTTAATGTTTCCAGTGATTTTTGGCCCAGATTTTGGGATATGTCTTGTGGCCCTAACAGTCTCCTGGCTTCTAGAAATGACCATCTTAATATATAGGAAGAGGAAAAGGGAAAACATTACTACAGAGTTACATCTTCTGGGGAGTTGGGGAAGGTGACTCCACAAGCCTATACATACTAGTGGGGAAATTATAGTTGACCAATGAGCCAGGCTAAGGCCTATTAGTCCCCCATCTGAAAAAGGAGCAGAGGAAAATGGGGATGAATCTTTCAAAGGTACAAATGATGTCGAGGAGTCCCAATTTAGAGACTGTTAGGGCCACAGACCTATCCTAGAAACCTCTGGGCCAAAGAAGGAAGAAAGAAGGGAGGGATGGAGGAAAGAGAGAAGGGGGGAGGAAGGAAGGAGAGAAAGAAAGGAGAAAAAGAGCACTTGGTAATTGTCTATCACTTAGGAAGATAACATAATCCATTGAAACCTCTTCTACACACCTGCCAGTTTACATTTCTGATTCACCACGGTAAATCAGAAGAACTAGTACTTGGCACACAAAAGACAATAATTTCACAGGTTTACTGCAGTATAATACAACCCCAAACAATTTGATAGCAATTTTTCACAGCTACATAGTTGACTGAGGATTTTGAGTCATGTGGTGTCAGACCAGGCACTGACACAGCTGGAAATTCCAAAACAGCTGACAGTACTCCTACATGCTCCTATGCGCTAGTGATTGGTGCTAGCTGGGGGCTGGCAGCTCAAGAGGGGTTTAAAAAGTTTTATTTAATGAGTGTATGTGAGAGAGATACTTACAGCTGGGCTTATTTATGAAATCTGTATCTGTGTGCATGCAGCAGAAGTGTGTGAAGACCAGAGGACAACTTTCAGAAGTTGGGTCTTTACTTCCACCATGGGATCTGAGGATTAAATTTAGGTCAACAGGTTGGTGTGGAAAGCACTTTTACCTGATGAGTCATCTTGCTGGTCCCAGAGCATCACTTCTTAGAGCATTCTTTTGGTAAAAACAAGTTTCAGAACTAGGTGTGGTTACACAGGCCTGTAATCCCAGCAGTATTCAGAAGGTGAAGACAGGAGAGTCTTGAGTTTGAGGCTAGACTGGGCTACATAGAAAAACTCTGTCTCAAAATAAATGATTTTTTTAATATAAAGCCAGACATGGTGCATATCTGTAATCTCATAACTTGGGAGATAGAAACAGGAGGGTAACCCTGCAACCAAGTAGGTTCTAGGATAGCTTGGGCTACAGGAGACCCTGCCTCAAAACAAACAACAAAAAGTTATTGAGGAAGTCTAGACT